GTTTGGTGGCTCTGGCTGCGGCTGCTGGGCATCACCGAGTCGGAGTGCTGGCTGATGAGGCCTAATAAACCGGGCCTAACCACTCGAGGTTGCCCGCTCTCCGGATGTTGTGCCAAGGGATTTGCTCTGGCAGGAAGGAAACCCCGTAGAAGCGGACACCTCATTTCTTTGTTTCACATGGGCAGCCCCTGTGCGTGAGAGCAGCGGCTGGCTGACAGGCGATCGAGCGGCTTCTTGCAACGTCTGCCGGAGGTCCAGTGCGAAGCATACTTCAAAGCAGTGCACCGCGGTATGTGACGCAGGAACTGCTCAGTTGAGTAGCAGGTAGCAGACTGCTTCAGGCTGGCTGGGTCCAGATGAGTGGCCACTGTTGAAGGAAGAGTCCGAGGAGGCGAGTGCTGAAGTGGTGACTGCTTTCGCAAGCGCAATCCGCAAGCCTCTCTCAGGCGATGGCCGAGCGCTTTGGCCGCCTCTCGGGTTCCCTTTGGGCCAGGCCGGAGCCGGAGCGGCCGGAGCGGCCGGAGCGGCCGAAGCGGCCGAGGCGGCCGAGGGGTGAGCGCACTCCCTAGCTCTGCGCAGGTTCCCGGCACTGCAAGCCTTGGACGCTCGGCTCTGACAGCGAGTGGTTGACAGTTGCACGTTCCACCGAATTGTTGGGCAAGAAGTTGCATCCCGTAAAGGATACTGGCCTGGGAACACTTCTCGCGAGAATCAGGTCCAATATGCGGAGTGGCGTGCCAAAGAACCCGGAGACCGCGGCTGTCGAGCCTTTTTTGCTGCTGAGGTCTCATGCCCACTCTCGGGAATCCGAATCCCGATCCCGAAGTATTCAGCTGAGCAGAGCCTGCCTAGAGGCCTTCGTCTTGGAGCTGGGGCGCAGGTTGGACGAAGGCTCCCGAGCAAAGGTGTCTCATCAGGAAGAAAGTGCAGAAGGGAGTAGGGTCAAGTCGGGTTTCTGGACGTTTGCAAGAGGGAATCTCCGTATCTAACCATAGCCTACCACAGCTTGTGCTGATACGGACCTTCTTGTCCAGTTGTGAGGAATTGGGGCATCCGAAGCACCCAGAGCCCCCTCATAGAACCCAACTGAAGGGCGTGTGCGCCTCGTCGCTTGGAGTTCGGCACGCTGGCCAGAGCTGCTTTGGGTGCTGCAAGCTTTGCGAGGGCCAAAAGCCCCGCGCTGCATGCCTGCACAAAGTTTCCCACCTCCCCCGGATTGGACCTCTATCGTGGAGGGGGTGGTACCGATAGTATTCGTGGTGCTAGCACAAGTGATTCTGCTACTAGTTACCAATTAAAGGTGTCATGCTTGTAGCAGTACGAGTATTAGCATCAGTATTCATCGCGACAGTAGTACTAGTACTTGTAGCAGTAGCAGTAGCAGTAGCAGTAGCAGTAGCAGTAGTAGTAGTAGTAGTCGTAGTCGTAGTCGTAGTCGTGGTAGAACATGTGTAGCGGCAGGGCTAGCAGTAGCAGTCCAGGTTCCAGGGCTCGCATCCTTTCCGACCACTAAGAGTCCCGAAGTTTTAAGTGCAGGGGCTGCAGGATGTAGCCCTTGTATCCTGGACTCCTTGGGAAGACTCAGGTGCAGCCTGTGGTGCTGCAGCTCCGGACGGCCTTGCGCTGAAGCGGCTGGCATGGCTGGCGCGGCTGTTCCTTACCGAAACGGAGATTGACAATTAAAATTTGGGGCTCTTACAATGCTGTGGCTGTCACTGAGTAGAGTCGCAAGGCGCTACACAAGGCAGTTCAGAAAGCCTGTACTGCCGAGGCAAGGCTACGACTGGCAACGCTGGTTCAGCAATGAGACGTTTCCCAAGAAGGCTTTGAGCTGGAGCCTTAGCCGAAAACTGCAAAGGAGCTTCTATGTCATGAGTCCAGTCCTTCTTTGCTGACCGTTTTGGCACCGCTCCAGGTCGGGAGGAGTTCAGCCTGTATTCGCACGGGGTCAACAATGCCGTGGCATTTAAGTTTGCGGCACTTTGGAGTGGCGAAACGGATGCGGCGGATGCAGCAGAGGCGTGGTTTCAACACCCCGAAACCGCGGAGCCATATTTCTACTTCGCAGGCGTCGCTTGATGCCTGGCACCAACTACGGCGATATCATGGTGTGGCCTCAGGTGCCCGCTTGCCTGGAGAATGTTCGGCGATAGACGGTGCTCGAGGCAACTACATTTTGATCTTGCCTCCACTACTTGTAAATGTTGTCTTGAGATGGCGATGTGTACACGCATGGGCACGCTCCTCCACTTACATCTTGCGGCCTGCATTGCTTGAAAGTGGGCTTCCGCCCAGCACAGGTTTGTGTCTCACCTGTGCAGGTGCAATTGGTGCAGACGAGCACCTCGCCGGGCGTGCGCCACACCGTGGCACTGAGCTTTGTGCGTCGCGGCAGCAAGAGCAGTTACCAGCTTTACCCAAAGGCATGCGGTATGAAATCGTCTAGGCTGCCAGTCCCGGCATGGCGGTGTGCGGAGAACGATTCCAATCTCTTCGCCTCATGCCAGTGCAGAGTCGCGTAAACTGTCTCAGCCTCGGCAGGTTGTGGTGGAGTCCATGCGGAGCTTAGAAGAAGCCTACGCCGCGATGCCGAACAGGCAGATACCCCCGAAGAAGGGAGTTAGCAGTTAGCTGCTTCTTGGCGATGCGAGGCCGGAGCTGGCCGACAGCTTGGAGGCCCGGGGCCCCGTTCCGTGGCACTTCCTTCTCCTTCCAGAGCTCGGCATCTGCTGGAGGTGTTGGCATTTAACAGTTTGCCTGCAGCAGTGAGCGACGATCACTGGACGCACCAGCAGCTTAGCAATCTGCAGAGATGCCTTGAGCGGCGCTTCGCCCTCTGAGAGTTTCAAGGGGCACTGCTGAGGTATCTTACCCAGTCCAATGCGGCATTCGCCGGCATTGTGGCTCGGAAGTACTGGTCTAGCTTGCTTCGCCTTGTTAGAGTTTGCTGTGTCGCCTCATGCCGCAGCATCACCCACACTGGAGGAATCTGTGCAAGAGACAGAGGACAACGATGGACCTCATCTTTCAAAGGTGCAACCCTGGTGCCATCGCACGGAGTGCTGCAAAGTGTGATGGCCAGGTGTTTGGCAATGTCGGTCTGGATGCCACGCTATATGGCCTTTCACCGTGCGGTGCTTGTCATGCTAGACTTGCATGGCAGCCGCTCGCGCACAAAGTCGGCATCTCTGTCTTTTAACCGCTCCGCAAGATGCTGAACGTCAGGAACTTTCCGTGCTGCACAGTGAACTTCGCCCAGGGATGGGCAAAGTTTGTTGACGCGGGCTCAGTTGTCCAGCTGGACTTGGAATTCAAGTCAGGCCCACCCTTGCCATCCCTTGCCCTTGGCCCTTGGCCCTTGGCCCTTGGCTTTGCTTCAGGCCTCGGGCCTTTGGCTTTTCGAAGACGGCGCCTCGTCTCACGGTCAGAGATTGTGCGCTGTTTTGGGGTTGCGCCACTTCGCAGACCCAGACAAACGCGCGTAAGATCTGTAGTTCAACGCATGGAACACTTGCAGGTGGTCGTCAGCTTGGCCTGCACGAAACGTAGCGGCACCCAGACTTGTCGTGCGAGAGTGACAGTCAGGCAGGTTTGTAACAATTGGCAACGTCGCAGTGCCAGAATCAAGCCACAGCCTTCACACACCAGCACCACCAGAAATGCGATGACCTACACACCGAAGCCTCTTCGCACCGACCCTGCGCACCTGCTCTTGCCTGCCCTGATTTCTGCAAACACCTGCAAATCTGGGCTTGCTGGTGCAAGAGGCCGCTGCTTCTCTCTGCCGCCTTCGCCCCGTCGTCGATCTCCGTTCCGGCGCCAGTGGGTGGCGAGGTGCAAGTGATTTGGAGTTCCTCGTCGTTTTTCTCAGGATGTGGATAGTACTGACGCGGTAGCAACAGGCTTAGCACGTCACGTCGAGAGAGCGGATCGTGCGATAAGGGAGGTCAGATGTGTCGCGGTCACAGGTCAGTGGGGCAAGGTTGTACAGTTGTACATGTTCAGGTGGAGCTGTCTACTGCGTATCCCTTCGATCCAGAGGCACCGGCAAAAGCCGTCTTGCCTCCTTTGCCTCCTTACCTTGCAGTTGGCTTGTCCGACACCCGCAGGGTCTGCTGCATTACAGGGCCAGAGGCGTCCGGCCTCCGCGCTGAGCCAAGGAAGGTGTCGGAGCTCTTCCAAGAAAACACGTGAACTCACGTGCTCTTGTGAAAACTTCTGTCTGTGAGCCTAGGCTGCAGCTTTTGGTCCGCGTGCCGCAGTGGGCAGACCTGGAGCGCTCAGAGGCGCAGTGAGGGGCGGCCGAGTAGGGCCACAGAGTGCGGCCACACAGCACAGCAGGCACGGCTGAGCTGTTTTCGTCTGGGTTTCACATCTTTCGCGAGGCTGCCGGTGCTCCTGGCCGCTTCCTTCTGAAGGATGTCGCGACGGAGCGCCACGCTCCAAGAATGTCCCTAGGTCTTGCCATCGAATTCTTTCCATCATCTGACAGGGTGCACTTGTTTCGATTTGTGACAAATTGCTAGAAGCATGCGGGGCCCCAATCCGCATCCAAAGAAACCCAAAGCACATGTGGCACAGAAGTCCCGCACACTTGCATCGATCAGGACATCTCTTGTTTTGCAGAACCTCCGGCGCACCACATGCGCAAAGTACGGCTGAAACTTGTCGGTCACATTGTTCAAGCCCATCCGATTTCCATTCAACGATTTTTTCAAACATGGCTTTAGGTGTATACTTGTAGGAGGTGCAGTTGAGACAGGCGGTCAGAAGCAGAGTCACGGGAGAGAACAGCGCTCAGCACGTAACTGGCTTTGACCCCGGCTTCAGTTTCCTATTTTCGTAACGGTACCAGCTGTAGACCGCCAATTTTAGAGTAACCTAGTCTGGCGGTCAACGTGCAAGACACTGGGCAAAGAGGGCTCCTCCCACCAGGTTTCTTCACAAACTTGAGCACCGCTTGGAGTTGCTGCGTGAGTTGCAAAGGGCCCGCCCAGGCAATGTTGGGCCTTTCGTACTACAGAACAGAAAGCACTCCCTGGAAGTACCCGGCAACGACTCGATGAGATTTGAGCCTGACTCAACCAAATATTCTGTTTAGGTAGCATCGTTGCAGATTCCCTTTAGCCCTCTTCAGACCGGTCCCTTACTGGAAGTCGCAATGAGGTCCCTCCACGCTTGTCCTCCCCATCGAGGAGCCAAATGCCGAGTGGGAGGCACGCTGGAATAGGATCATCTGTGCGACATTGCCAGATGCCAATCTCGTTGCTGCGAGAGCATTGGCGTCGGCAGTTCCTCCCGAGGTCCGCTTTGTTCCGAAGCCGTTGCTGAGAGAAGGAGTTGCCGGAGCCAGCATCCAGCTGGGCTCCCTGCCCCGGCAAAGGCAGAGCATCCCCTCCCTTTCAAAGCTCCAGGTTCGGACCGCTGATGTTTGTCCAGCCCATTTTGCACCGCGCTGTGCCTTTGCCTTTGGACGGTACCGTGTCAGCAAGGCAAAAGTGTTGACACTGGAATTCCGTTCGGCAAATTGTGTGAAGCAGTCGAGCTGTCAACGGCCCGGCATGTCGAAGATACTGTCTACTTTTCGATACGTTTCGCAAAGCCAGAGCGGCAACCGAGATGGGCCATATGGTCCCGGTGCACATCCTCCTCCAGCAGTTCGCGATGAAATGTTGGTTCCTTTGCAGGAGCCCAAGGTGCCAGCCTTAGCTGCTAGAAAGCTGTAGGAAGCAAAATTTTGCCAGATGTTCAAACGAGGCAGGGCAAGCATGTCGGAGGTCCGTTTACCCGTCCAGCAGTGGCTTCGTATTGCCTGCCCGACACGGTGATTTGATGCCTGCTCCTTTCCTCCTATATGCAGTTTGAGTCAGTTTTGAATTCACACAACTTTCTTTTTGTCAATGTCAGCTCCTGAAAGGACCTCCCAACAATTCTTAGTTACTGACCCAAAGTGTTAGCTTCCACCAAAGGTGTGGAGGCACCGGTGGGTGAGCCGCGAGAGGACGATCCCAACGCATGGAGTGGCAGGGCGGCCCTGCCCGAGTGTTCGATGAAACGCAAACCAGAGGCATCTAAAGGAGAAGAAAGGAGCCCACGATGGTCCAACGATGCTACGTTATCGGGGGTGTTTCAAGCGAACCTCACAGGGGGATTTCAAGGCCGCAGGGCCTAGAAGCACGCATCAAGGCACCTTCATGTCTCAGATTCCGCTCTGGCTGAAGCCCTGAACCCGACGTTTTGCGTGTGGTGGTTTGTCTGGAAAGTTTCTGCTTGGTGTCACAAGTGCAGTGCATCCTGCACAAGAATTGATTCATCCCCCGCAGACCAGATTCACCAGACATGCAGTTCATGAGTTTGTTGTTTCTTTTCCCGTGATGTCTTCAGTAGTATCTGGAGGAAGCGAGGCAGCGTGAGCCAATCGCACCTGCTTTCGGGATTTCTCTGGCCACTCTCTGCATACGCATATCATATATATATATATATATACCCATACGCATGACGTTTGGACTGTGCAACTCTCCAGCATCGCTGCACTCACAATTCCCCCACCCCAAGTCTTTCACAGGTTCGAGTTGTCCAAGTCCGAGGTTTGGAGTCTCCTCCTGAACGAAAGCTGGGAGCAGGGTGCTGGCCCGAGTATACCTTGACCTCCAGACGAAAACTTCAGGGATTCGCTTCACGACTTTATGGCAAAAGCCAAGCCGTGCGTGAGTGCCAAGACCTCACCATCTCGGCTCCCGAGACCTCACTGCAGGCCCGCAGTGTGATTCACTCCACATTTAGACGGTGTCCCGCACCTTGAGCTGTTCAGGCTGTCTGGCTCGCAGATCTTGGGGGTTTAGCCTTACAAAACTGCGTGTGGTGAGTCTCCTTCTTGATTTCCGGCCAAAGATGGCAAGGGGAGCGATTTTGCTGGGTAGAAGGTTCAGGCCGTGTGCTAAAGAGCGCAGCTGCCTCCTTTGCAGGGCTTCCAGCTGGACGGTTGCCCAATGTTGGCGCTATCCGGGCACAGGCCGGGGATGTGATTGGGGCGTTTCGAGCCGCGTGCCACGATACTGTTGCGGTTTATCGATCAGTACTGTCGGACCTCCAGAGCCTGCGCCGAGGCTTGCGGCTTTCGGATGCACGAAGCTTCGTGGGTCTCTCAAGTCCGTGCTGATGCCGACCTGATATTTGGACATCTTTTTCCGGGGCAGCACTGTTCGATTTACACGCAGGTTTTGCCGAGCTCCCCATCTTCGTGGAAACAGATGGAGTCGTGGAGCCAGCTTGGCAGAAAAGATGCGTCTGCTTCTCATAAACGTTCAGGCCATAGTCAGCACTGGAATGCAAGCATGAAGTCGTCATTTCATCCTCAAGCACCTTAGCACGAGTTCTGATTTTGGCTCGTAGACTTCGGTGAAGCCTGGATAGTTCACGATGTTTTTTCTGTCATGTGTCGAAACGCATTGCCTGTGTTCTGTATGGTCATTGTTGGAGATTTGTGCAGTGACTTTTCCCCAAGCCTTCGGCCGAGCTACATACATCTGTTGCTGATCTGCAGGGGGGGCTGGGCAACCCCAGGCATCGAAGTCAAATAAGTTACAACATACCTTGCCTGTTTAGGCTATTGGCACCGCACATAGACGCCTCCACACACCAAAAACCCCATTTCCAATGCATTTTTCCCAACTGCTTTCTCCAACAGCATACCACTTCATCCTCTGCACCCCCGAATCACCAAATGTTTTCTCAACGAGATGGTGTTCCTTGTAGAATTTGATTCAGGGTTTAGGGTTAAAGGTTGGGCACGGTCTGACGTTTTGCGAAGCCAGCTCAGAACTGCAATGGCACTCCACATCAGTGGAAGCCGGGCTCAAACTTCTGCTTGACATCTGTGTATGACGTAGATAGACTTATTTTCTCAATTAAACATACCTTTCCCTATTACGACTGGGTTAAAAATAGTCTGTTCAGGAATTTGTTAAAATTCGCAAACCGTCAGACCGTGCCCAACCCTTAACCCTAAACCCTGAACCAAATTCTACAAGGAACACCATTTAGGGCTATCTCACCTAGGTAGATACGGATATTGGGAATAAAATAATGTCTTAGGATAGGTATTTAGGTTGGTGGGGTGGGGTAGCATTTTCAATGAGGTGGGCTTTGCCTATTTTCGGGTGGTGAGATCAGTCTGTAGATCAATGGTTTCTGCTGGGGGCAAGTGGACTGGTATTGATGGAAAAGGTTGTAGAACAGGGATGCAGTTCGTGAAAGATTGGTGAAGGAGGTGGCAAATTCTGTTGAGTGTTTGAGGGGAATTTGATGCGATTTTGGGGGTTGCGGGCTGTCGGTGTGCTCGTTGAAAAACGGGATGCTGAAGATTTGGATGCTTGGGGGCAAGTGGTTGGCTGGTTGAAAGTGCGAAAATGAGGTCTGAAAAGTTGGAACAAGTGGGGGACAACTGATGGTATGCTCGTTGAGAAAATATTTGTTGATTCGGGGGTGCAGAGGATGAAGTGGTATACTGTTGGAGAAACTAGTTGGGAAAATGAGTGGGAAATGAGGCTTTGGTGTGTGGGGGAGTTTATGTGCGGAGCCAATAGCCTAATTAGGCAGGGTATGTTCCAACGGAATATGGGTTCCCTTGGCACCACCGGCTCAATGCTCCTTGCATCCACGTTGCAATCATGTTGTCAGCCCTGCAACCTTAGATTGTGGTCTTTCGTGGCAACTCGAAATCTACTGCACAAACCATACAGGCAGGTCCGAGTGATGCTGTGATGCTCCTTTCGCGTGTGGCTTCTGCCGTCAAGCTGCCGCGACTCTGCTACGACGCGCCGTCAGCCCGTGCTTGATTGCAGGAGTACTCATCAGCACCACCCTGAGTCGATGCCTTCGCAACTGTTCAATGCAGCATCGCTCTGATCGTATCGATGCTTTCGGAATTGTTTGAAGCTGTCGTCTTCGGCGCTTGCCTCACGTTGGTCGCCGGTCCTCGCCAGGAGCAGCTGGCCTTCGGATCTCTTGAAATCTTTCCTTCCGTTGGGAGAGCCAGGCTCCCTGTTGTCGCATCGTCTTTGTGGCTTTTGCAGAGATCGATTCTTTGGGGATTGACAAAAGGAGGCAATCCTGGGTGAAATCGTAGCAGACAGTAGGAGACTGGCTGAAGCTAGTAGCAGAAGTCGAGGGTCCGGCGGCGCTTGGCTTGTTCCTGCACAGGCCAGCCCAGTCCAGAAGCCTTGCGCTTTCTTGAAGGAACTCCTCGGGCGCGACCGCCGAGAAAGTCTTGCCTAGTAGTTTTCAGGCCTGCAAAGTAGTGGTCATTGACGTTGCAGTTCGCAAAATCCACGTTGCTACATGAAAAAACACACGAAAACTGGTGTCTAGGATGCTCAGGAACCCAAGGCTGGTGCCACTTCCGTGGATCCCAAAAGGCCACCGGACCCCAGGAGCACGAAGCTCGAACCCGATCGCTCAGCGGATTAAGAAGGAAACAAGCAGCCCGCATGAATTCAGTGCTCGTAGCAGCCGTGCTTCATGCCAGCTTACGGCAGAAGGCAGTTGATGGCAGTTGCGCACTGATGCTGCAATTCTTCTGGGTTGCGAGGATGAGGGTTGATGATAAAGCAGGATGTTTTCATCCCGTTCCACAGCATGTTACATAGGGCTGATCGTTCTTGTCTCGAGGCCACGCTGACACAGACTCTACTGCATCGGAGCCTGTGCTGTCTTCCCTTGGCCCTGCCGGCTCGCATGGCTCGCAAGCTGAGGAGAGCCCCGGCCCGGGGTGTTTCAGCTGCGGTAGTTAGACAGCTCGCCAGGATGACTTTGACATCAACGCGCACGGGCCTCACATGGACCCGATACTTGCATTGATGCGTATCGCAGCTGGTCACCTGGCACTGGCTTTTTCTGCAGAAACATGACCTCGATTACCCGATTGCAGGCTGGTTTGTGTGTCGGACAGGAAACCTCCACAGCATGCTGAAAGTGCGGACCAGACATGCCATTGCCCATGACTACATCTGCACCGAGCATAGCTACCGTGCTTCTTTTGCTGCCTACTTGCCTGTCTACCTCTACATTCCTATATGCCAACACATGCAGGCACCAGGAACCATGGTGTTTCTTCGGCGCTGAATTCAACATCATGCCCGATTCCAGGGGTTGCATACCGAAGTAGGAGTGGCACGAATGTGATAAAGTCGCGAGACTCGTGAGAGTATGATTTGTGCGAGATCAGCCAGGACATATGTAGCACGCATCGTGCAACAGATGTGACAAGTTTCCGTGGCGATTAGCGACACCGTCATCAGAGAAGAACTGCCTCTATCCGAAAAGAAGCTTCGCTTTAAGCCACGTGGAGTTGCTGCACGCAGGTGGTTTGACCTCTACCCGTTGCACCTCTTCAGCCACAGTCAGCTTTCTTCGCTCCTCGTTTGCTCTGAACTCGAGGGCTTATGTGAGGGGGTCGGAAAAAGAACATGGCGAGGTCAGGTGTTGTACGTCATTGCAAATGCTTCGCGTCGTCCGCCTCGGTCTGGCCGCAAGTGAAGAGGGCGGACGGTATCTAGAGAGTTGTCTGGCTAACCCCGTCTTGAAACAGACGAAGGAGTCTAGCACTTGTGCAAGTTCCCAAACAAAATGTAAAGCCTTTGTGCGCAATGGGTCAATGAGTATCAACTGACGAGCAGTCTCTCCCAATTAGCAGGCTCAGAGTGCTCCGGGGAGTCTCTGGTTGTGGTGGCCTGCAAAATAATTTGCAGGGTGTGTGTGTGTGTGCACACCTGCGCATGGTGACCGCTTGAGCCTTTTTTCTGAGTAGCAGCTCGTTCAGTCTTGCACCAACGAAGACATTGAACAAGAGCTGGTCATATCAAACGGGACGCCGTTGGACGTACCTGCACAACGGCCGCCCAAACTACCCCAAAACAACATAAAGAAAGCTGTTGGTACCATAGTTGGCCTCCAGTGAAACTGTACGGTTACTGCAATCTGTCTTGTCTCGTCTGGTTCTGTCTGTCTTCCTTCGCATCAGTTCGTGCCGAGAGTGTGCCGAGCCAAAGTGTGTGTCGTTCTGGAAAATCCCGAAATGGGGCCAGATCACAGTGGGCAAACGTCCAAGCCAGCGATCGCGGAGGATAACGCTGCCTATACCAATGCATACAGGTGAATCATCATGACATGTCAGGTCTTCGTTTGGATTGCGCTGATGCCATCATTTGTGAACCAGCGACTATCTGAAGTGAGGGCTTTGCGAACGACGTTCTGTGCGCGCAGGTTTCTTTCAGAGGGTTAGGGTTCAGGCAACGCGACTCAGGCAGGCTTCAGGCAGCGAGGGCTTGAGCTGAGCAGTGCAAGCAATCATGAGTGCAGTGCAAAGTTTCAGGGATCCGTTCCTCTAGGTCTGAGGTATTAGGTCGGGGTTGACTGTGGATTGCTTCGTTTCCTGAAGATCTTTGCTCTCGAGTGTTTGACATTCATTCCCACCTTTTGCATAGGATGCTGTTCGACGCCCGTACCTTGCGCCCCTCAAGTGACCGCTTTTTCTGCAGCCGCGCCGCCGGCCACGCCGTACATACCGGTTCACTTTGCAGCACGCTTTGCCGCCTTGCCCAGCAGCAGCGCACAAGATTTGCGCAAGAAAAACAAGAAGCGTTCTTCTTCGAGCTCTGCCTCTGAAAGCTCTACGTCCACCAGTACCAGCACCCTTCAACGCAGGCTGCGCAAGCGTCAACGGGAGAAGATCAAGGCCTCCCGGAAGAAAAGCAAGCGCAGCCCACAGCCCTCGGGCCAACGTGCCCGGTCCCGCGACAGACGTCGCCGCGCCAAAGGAGCATAAACGGGAGCCGCTTTGCAAGGCCAAGAAGGACAAACCCCGCTCCCCAGTGCATCACCGACGGCCCCTGCGTACGGACAGTAAGTCCCCGGCCAGTCGTGATCATTCCCGTGCGGACACCACCGCGTGACACTAGCAGCCGTCCTCCCCAGGAGCGACGCAGCACAAGCCTTCGCAGGGCCCATTTGGTCCTACTGCCGGGACCCGGTAGCAAATCCGCCCGCATCCTCCCGAGGTGGCTTCGATCCACCGCCACGTTGCACATTGCCCCCTCATACACATTTCTTTGCTTCGGCAGCCCTTACCAGCCGCATTCTCATTATGGACAGCCCGGTTTTGATGCTAGCTCTGGCCCGAGCCTGCAGCCACACTTTGTGTCCCACGGCCAGGCCAGTGGACGTTTTCAGCAGCCTCCAAGGCCACCGCCCAGCTTTCGTGACAGGAGGTCTTCCAACAATGCCGCTGCCCACCCTCAGAACTTGCAGGCCAGACAGCAAGGATACCACACCGCTTGGACTGCCACGCGCCAGGAAGCCGCCGACGCGGCCAACAGCCCGCATAGAATCAGTGGCGGAGCTCCGTCCAAAGCAACGCCCGCAATTGCATGCTGTTGATGTGGAGTCAGCCGAGGATTTAGCCCACCACTTCGCCTCCTCCATGCCTGCAATGCCAAGCTCATTGGCTGTTGAGTTGGCACACATGTCGTTGTGAACTGGGATCGCATCCCAAACTCTACAACTGGCCGCTGCCCGAACGTTTGAGGTCTCACACGCCTACCAGTGCTTCTTTGTGCCTCTGCAAACCCATGCAGTGCCGAACACGACCAGGCAAAGCCAAAAACCTGGCATGCCGAGTTGTGTGTGTGTGCATGTGGAGATAACCAAGATTGACCGACGAACTGAAGCCGGGAACAAGAGCAACAAGTAGGCTACGATTGTAGGAATGCGTGCTATCTCATGTTTGACTTCGGTCAATCGAGGAGAGTCCATCAAGTGTGTCATTCGGCTGTGAGGCTCCAGCTTTATCCAGAAAGCTCGGTGACCAGACGTAAGAATGCTCACCTTCGGGTGCAACAAGTCTCCTATATTCTCTCCTACAAACCCACTGCAAGATGTCGGGATAGCGTCCACTTGTGATCCTAAATGCGACGGACCACTAAATGCGAGATCAACTTGTGTCTCCTAAATGCAACATCTACGAAATGCGACATCTACTACTCTACAACTTGTGAGCTCCAGCCATGAACTCGTTCCCGTGCTTTCAGTTCTTTTTCGGATCGGCTCTAGCAGAGCTGCCTTCTGGTCCGAGACGACATACAATCACATCTGGTGGGGATGCGCATCCACCACCCCGCCCCGTTTTGCAACCAACACGTGGTCGGCCTGGGAGTCATCGTGAACCGTCTCCGGCTTCAGAGGTTTCGGAAGTTTCACGTCGGCATTTGCCAATCACAGAAGTTCAAACAGAGGCAGACCGCGTAGGGCCAGGTCTTATACATCGCCGCCGCGATCGAGGTCTCCTACAAGATCTCCGCTGCCCAGAATCAGAGTCTTGCCAATCCGTGTTTTATGAGTGGTTGTGCATTGACCGGTTGTGCATTGCGCGTTTGATGTTCAATTTTTTTTATGAGTTTTGTGCATTGGCCGGTTGTGCGTTGGGCGTTTGATGTTCAGTTCATGTATCGACACCCATGAGCTACCCCACCTCCACAGAGGTCGTTGCCACCGCCACCCAGAGTTCCCACAGTCAATTTCGATGGCAGCACAAATCTGGTTCGACCAAACCCGCCCCAGCTCGATGTCAACTTGGTAGACCCAATGCCTGGAATAGCACCCACACGGCCGCAGACAATGATCATGCAGCTACAACCACAGGCACCATTGCCACGTTCACCACCACCTCACACACGACCACCTATGTTTGCACCGCCACCTTCCATTCCACTATCACCGAACATTGCTCCACCTGCACCTCCACCCATATCCACAGTTCCCACTCCACCAGCTCCACCCACAAACGCCACATCCAAAACCACTGCACCTGCACCACCTCCACCACCTACACCGCCCACTGCTCCACCACCGCCATCTGTTCCTCACCTATTTATTAAACCCACCTAAACACCCCACCAGTGGTCCCAAACAATTAGTCACTGTCACCACATTCACCCCGACACCCACACCGACAGCACCACCACAGAGCTCCAATCCAGTCCAGCAAGCTATTGTCCAGCCTGCTGACATTCACGAAGAGGTGAAGCAACAACAGATCAGAGCCTCGGGTCCTGGAGTGTGTTCTCACATGACAAACCCGGAGATCTTCAACTATTCTCAAGGTCGTCGCGACTTTACCTTTGCGTAATCACAGATTTATTCGATGTTGGAGCCAACAAACTATGAAGACATGTTGCAACATATTAAGTCTCTTACACCTGGTATCAGTGCAGAGGTCATGGTGGATGAGCATGTGTTGCGCCGTTTTGCGAGGTTATTGAAAGCCAGCGGTATTGAGTATTCCAATGTGCTCCAGACTCCGGCTACTGTTCATAAAGATCCTGAAGGTATTACTGTGTGGGGTTTTCAAGCAAACCATTTTCCTGCACCCCTTGCAACCATGCGAGGCCCAAATGATCACAGAGTCGTCTGGATAAACGGAACCGCGGAAACGAGTGCTCTCGGGATATTAAGAACTGGGAAGGTTGCAAGGAGCACAATGGACGGTTTGGACATGCCAGCTGGGAAGGAAACGAGTGGCTTCTTCGCCAAGGCAATGTTTGGGTATATTGCTGAAGCCGCGCCGTAATCGCGCGCCAAAGCCGTCGCTGATTTCTGTTATCACGGAAAAAAAGCGTGCAACATCGTTCTCTGGTGAAGCCCTTGGCCAACACATAAAACCGACCAATGCAGACGCACACCGAGAGCAACAACTGATGCAAAGTTACCCGGTGGTGCACTCCTGTTCGAAGGATAAGCGTTGGCTCATTCGTGAAGATGTTGCGCGCATCGCACACATCTTTCTTTTGAGTAATCCTGAATCCTGATGATAATCGGGGATCATGGCCGGCGAAGCCAGGCCAATTCCTCACCAATACAAAATCATCAGGAGCACCTAGAGCGATCCCATCAAGTTGAAATGCTTTACGATCATCATATCTTATGCTCTTAAACTTTGCTACTTTTCTTTGATCAAATGGATTGCTCAGTTTCACGACCAATGCACGAAGGTCAGTGTTCGATTAAAACATGTTACCTCACGAGAGTGGTTGTGCGTTGTGCGGCCATGAGCGGTTGTGCATTGTGCAGTCATGAGCGGTTGTGAGCTGGACATCATATTGCATCAGCGCTCGACAGGTGTGAGGTATAGGAAGACATCGTGAAACGGACCGCCGATGAAGCTGCCCTATCGGCCCTATCGCCAGCTTCGCAACGAATCCGCGTTCGAATAGTGGTACGACCTGACCCCGTCCCCAACAATAAGGACATGATCTTCGACGTCGAGGGTGACATTTCATTCACGGTCGATTCAATCAAGCAAGCTTTGACCCATCAAATGTACATGGTTCTTGGTCGATGTCTTCGTATTTTTTCTTTT